GCAGAAGCAGTGCTGCTGTTGCTGACGTGTCTGCTGCAGCTGATGCTGCTGCAGCATGGCTGCGGTGTCTTTGCTGCATGCAGCAGCCCCGCTGCTGCTTGCTGCTGCTGTCTGCTTCCTTTGGGCCGCTAGCTGTCCTCCTAGAAAAGCTGCTGCAGCAGCAGCTGCTGCAGCAGCAACTGCTGCAGCAGGGGTCACTGCAGCAGCAGCAGCAAGCACAGACACAACGGCTGCAGCTGCTGCAGCTGCTAGATGTGCTGCTGTGGGAGGTGCAGTTTGAGCAGCAGCAGCAGCAGCAGCAGCAGCAGCACGGAGGAGCAGCGCGGCTGTGCGACGTGCTGCTGCTGCTGCTGGATGCTGTTACAGTGGAGATCGGCAACGCACTACAGCAGCAGCAGCAGCAGCAGCAGCAACAGCAGCAGCAGCAGCAGCAACAGCAGCAGCAGCAGCAGAGGAGACGTTCCCATGGATCTGCTGCTGCTGCTGCGCCACCACAGCAGCAACAGCTGCGCAGCTCGAAGCAGCCGCTGCTGCAGCTGCTGCCGGGGGGGGAGCTGAGCAGCAGGAGCAGCAGCATCAGCAGCAGCAGCGGCAACAGCAGCTGCAGCAGCAGCTGCAGCAGCAGCAAGGGGACGCTGTCAAGGTGCCGCCGCACATCAGAACATTCAACAGCTGCTGCTCCCGCAGCAGCAGCAGCAGCAGCAGAAGCTGCTGCTGCTGCTGCTGTTGCTGCTGCAGGCGTACTCCGAAAAGACAGCGACAGAAGCCTCCAGGCGCGGCCTGCTGCTGCAGCAGCAGGTGCAGCAGCAGCAGCAGCAGTTCTTGCTTCTTACAGCACCGGAGTGGACTTAGGCAGCAGCAGCAAAGAGCAGCAGCAAGAGAGCTTGGTGCTGCTGCCAACAGCAGCGCAGCAGGAAGCGTTTCTGCTGCTGGATCTGCTGCAGCAGCTGCAGCTGCATGCAGCCCCAAACGCTTTGCTGCCGCGCATCGTCCGTTTGCTGCTGCTGCATCAGAAGGCTCACAACATTTTAACCCCACAGGAACACTGCAGCAGCAGCAGCAGCAGCAGCAGCAGCGGTTGCTGCTGCTGCTGCTGCAGCACGAGAGCAATGCTTGCTGGCTGCTGCGCTCTGTGTGAGCATGCAGTCTCTCTTATACGCTGCTGCTGCTGCAGCAGCAGCCAACGCATGCGCGGCG